CAAATTGCCTACATCTGTTGGATCATCAAAAAAGCAAGAGAGTTCCAGAAAAACATCTATTTCTGCTTTATTGACTATGCTAAAGACTTTGACTGTGTGGATCACAAGAAACTGCGGAAAATTCTGAAAGAGATGGGAATACCAGACCACCTGACCTGCCTCTTGACAAACCTATATGCAGGTCAGGAAGCAACAGTTAGAACAGGAACAACAGACTGGTTCCAAATAGGAAAAGAAGTACGTCAAGGCTGTATATTGTCACCCTGCTTATTTAACTTATATGCAGAGTACATCATGAGAAACGCTGGGCTGGAGAAAGCACAAGCTAGAATCAAGACTGCTGGGAGAAATATCAATAACCTCAAATATGCAGATGACACCACCCTTATGGCAGAAAGTGAAGAGGAACTAAAAAGCCTCTTGATTAAAGTGAAAGAGGAAAGTGAAAAAGTTGGCTTAAAGCTCAACATTCAGAAAACTAAGATCATGGCATCCAGTCCCATCACGTCATGGGAAATAGATGGGGAAACAGTGGAAATAGTGTCTGACTTTATGTTTTGGGGCTCCAAAATCACTGCAGATGGTGATTGCAGCCATGAGATTAAAAGACACTTACTCCTTGGAAGGAAAGTTATGACCAACCTAGATAGCATATTAAAAAGCAGAGACATTACTTTGCCAACAAAGGTCCATCTAGTCAAGGCTATAGTTTTTCCAGTGGTCATGTATGGATGTGAGAGTTGGACTGTGAAGAAAGCTGAGCGCCGAAGAATTGATGCTTTTGAGCTGTGGTGTTGGAGAAGACTCTTGAGAGTCCCTTGGACTGCAAGGAAATCCAACCAGTCCATCCTGAAGGAGCTCAGTCCTGGGTGTTCATTGGAAGGACTGATGCTGAAGCTGAAACTCCAATACTTTGGCCACCTCATGCAAAGAACTGACTCACTGGAAAAGACCCTGATGCTGGGAGGGATTGGGGGCAGGAAGAGAAGGGGACAACAGAGGATGAGATGGTTGGATGGCATCCCCGACTCAATGGACATGAGTTTGAGTAAACTCTGGGAGTTGGTGATGGACAGGGAGGCCTGGCATGCTTCGGTTCATGGGGTCACTGAGAGTTGGACACGACTGAGTGACTGAACTGACTGAACTGAACTCTTGTCAAAGAACCTATAGGTGGTTTCCAAATTTTGCCATAATGAACCAGCCTGCAGTGACCCTTCCAAGGCTTATCTCCTTGTTAACAAGGACACCTGAGTTTCTCTGGGTGGGATGCACACTTGTGATTCTTTACAGATGATTTTTCAGAAAGGTAAAGGCTATATGAATTGTAGGTAGAAGACAATTCTGTTTTAATATCCAGAAAAAGAATGCTTATCAACATTTTATCCTTTAGTTGATGCTTCATTTACTTGAAGAAGGATCAGGAAATTAATTTTTTTCAAAGATAAGATGTTCAACTTGATTGAGGGTGATTAATGCCTTCAAGAAATTAAATACTGAATTCACAAAAATCGTTAGTTTTTTTAATCTATAGAAGATCTGCACTGAGATGACACTGGGTACAGACAGAACACCCTGCTTCCACCAACTGAAATGGTGGAAGGACTGAAAATAACACATGGATTTGCCTAATGTCAGTGTTGTTATTGCTCCATCACTAAGTTGTGTCAGATTGTTTGTGACCCCATGAACTGCAGCCCACCATGCTCCTCTGTCCATGGGATTGTCCAGGCAAGAATACTGGAGTGGGTTGCCCTTTCTTTCTTCAAGGGATCTTCCCGATTCAGGAATTGGACCCAAGTCTCCTACATTACAGGCGGATTCTTTATCACTGAGCCACCAGGGATATGTACAACTTAAAAATCACATTTAATATAAGACATCTGACCCTCGAGATCAAGGTGTCAGAATGAGACTGAGTTAAGAACCAGGGGACTGAGCTTTGGAACTGTCTTAACAACACGGGGATGACCTTGAGCCAGCAACCTCCCCGGTGTCCACTGCCTGGGAAACGAGGGGGTGGGACTAAACGACTTCTCTCTCAGGCCCCATCCCTGGCCCCAGAGCACAGCAGATGCTGCAACTGAGCCATCACTCTGGATTATCTCAACCGTCCAATCAGATGAAATCCATGTGCCAAGCCTGGACCACGTGTCCTCAAGGCCTGTCCTGGCTCTGTCACCCCGTGACTGGTGGAAATGGGTGTATCAGGGGCGTATGCTCACTACATGGGACTCAGGGTTGGAAAACATAAGTTGCTAGGACAGTCTCCTGCTCCATCATCCCACAAAACGGACACTCACTCCCCCTCACCTCTGCACCCACATGCTACCCAATCCACAGTTAATTAAACAGAGCAGGTCAGGAGTCACATGATACATAATTGTGTCTCCTTTCACTCACTGTGTTTTTTTTTCCTACCTGTTTCTTTTCCTGACTTTGGGATATTACAATACGGACTTAATGTAAATTAGTGTGAATTTAAACAAGGCTTCACTGGGCATTAAGAACGTATTGCCAATTCCAAAGCCATCAGTCACAAAATCAGCCCATTTCTGTAGCACTAGAGCCGTGAAAACAATGTAGGTCACCCTTACATCCCCAGGATATATGAATTCACGAGGTACCTACAGAGCGACGATAATCGCAGTAAATATAAAAACTCCATATGTCCTATTTCAATAGACATATCCTTTGAGGGAGGATAAAATGGGCAGCTGTGTCTTTCCAAAGCAATTTATACAATAGGGTTTTTAAATGTCTACACCACTTTAAAAGGAAATTTAAAAAGTAGTATATTACCATTATGCACTAGCCATCAGAAATTATCTTAAAATTGATTAAAGTATTACTTATCTTAAGTACTGTTGACCTATTTTCATTCAAGCCTGTCATCTGTGTCTCTAGGATATACAGTTTGTAGGGAAACAGAAGATCAATTTGGACCCTAGAAGCTTCTTCCTGAAGAATAATGACCATGCGCTATAACTTACCACTCTACTGGATCATAAGCCGGTGCACAAACCTGAAGATATATAACAGGAGGAGAGTTTTTCACTTGATGTAGGAAAACGCGTGGATCTTCAAGCCAGCTTGAAGCCAACCCTTGAATTAATTTCAGGTCCCAGGCGTATGTTTGAAAGCGAAGTCTTTGTGATCCATAGGTTCTAACATATAGGCCAACAAATGCAATTCAATGCTTACCTGTAAATTTTTCTTATTTGCTGCCTTTACTGTGTCACATTTTATAACAGTATTAATTGCAATGTGAAATGCTTTCTTTTAGTCACAAGGAGAGTTTGTGTTGCTGTTGTCCGGTTGCTAAGCTGTCTCTGACTATTTGTGATCCCATGGACTGCAGTCCATGCCAGGCCTCCCTGTCCCTCACTATCTCCCAGAGTTTGCCCAAGATCGTGGTAGTGCTAAAGTCAATCGGTAATGCTATCTCACCATCTCATCCTGTGTTGTCCTCTTCTTTTGCCTTCAATCTTTCCCAGTACCAGGGTCTTTTCCAGCAAGTTGGATCTTCACATCAGGTGGCCAAAGTATTAAAGCTTCAGCTTCAACATCAGTTCTTCCGATGAATATTCAGAGTTGATTTCCTTGTTGACTGGTTTGATCTCCCTGCGGTCCAACAGACTCTCAGGAGTCTTCTCCAACACAATTCAAATGCATCAGTTCTTTGGTGCTCAGCCTTCCTTATGATCCAACTCTCACATCCATACATGACCACTGGAAAAACCGTAGCTTTGACTAGATGGAAACTGCTTCCGTTTGTCAGCAAAGTGATGTCTCTCCTTTTTAATATGCTGTCTAGGTTTGTCATAGGAGACCTGGTTCTTTCTAAATATACCATCAATGAATAGAACATTTTAAGGCAAATAACTCCTTGCCTGTATTATTAACGTCAGGATTGAGTTAGACAAGAAGGTGGCCAACTGAGTTGCACAGAGTCCCGGGGGTGAGAGTGCCTCGCGGGTAGAGACAAACAATTCCAGGCACTTCTTTTGCAAAAGAGGCCTCACACTTTTCTTACCGTATTTCTACATCAAGAGTCTAATTGTATATATCAATATACAATTTGAAGAGCAGTACTCCCCATTATGGGCTTCCCAGGTGGCTCATGGTAAAGAATCCACCTGGAATGCAGGAGATGCAGAAGACAGGGGTTCAATCCCTGGGCTGGGGAGATCCCCTGAAGGAAGGGTATGGGAACCCACTCCAGTAGCCTTGCCTGGGAAATCCTGTGGACACAGAAGCTTGGCAGGCTACAGTCCATGGGGTCACAAAGAGTTGGACAAAACTGAAGCGGCTAAGCCCGCACGCATGCACTCCCCATCATAACAATATTGGAATTCACTGGCTACACCTACTTTTAGACACGTGGTAGACTAGATGCTGTTTAGTCGCTAAGTTGCTTCTGACTCTTTACAACCCCATGCACTGTAGCCCACAAGGCCCCTCTGTCCATGGAATTGTTCAGGCAAGAATCCTGGAGTGGGTTGCTATTTCCTTCTTCAGGGGATCTTCCCAACCTAGGGACTGAACCCCGGTCTCCTGCATTGCAGACAGATTCTTTATCACTGAGCCACCAAAGAAGCCCATGGCAGACTAAACATTCTGATAAAACTTTCTGGGACAAGATATTTTAAAATTCTAGATAAAATAGAGCAAAGGTCTTTTTCTATGCAGAGCTGAAGGAAGAAGAAAGTAGAGAAATCCTCAGAGTCCAGGCAAAGCCAGGGCTGAAGGCAGAGAGCAAGGCTGGAAGAAGCTCTTCACTCCAAGAAGAAGGAGGGCCCCACACGGGGCTGAATGCATCCGTCAGGATTCCCCCCGACCTGGGCAGGGGTCTTAGAATAAATGTGAGGAGGAAATTAAGCACAGAGGTGGGAGGGGAGCAGCCTGATGAGGAGGCCAAGGGTCAGCATAGGGGGAGCCCTGGAGTGGAGGGGGCTGCAGGAGGGCTCCCCCCCCCCCAGCAGAAACTGCTGGTGCAGGAGGGCCAGCCTTGCAACAGCGCCCCTGGCTTGGAAGAGCCAGAAGGGTGCTCAGAGACCCTTCTCTTGCCCTCTGGTCTCCCGCCAGGCCCTTGGCAGCTACACCCGAGCAGAGCCAAACAGCGGGGGAGGGAGCCTGCCACCGCCGTGGGCCCCCTCCAAGGAAGAGAAGAGCTGCTGTGAGGGGCACAGCCTTGTGGGGCACACCTGGTGAGGCTGGAGGAACCTGGCTTTGGGGAGGACCGTTCTTCCCCCCAAGGATGCTTCATCAAAGGCTGTCTTCTTGTGTTTTGGGGCAGTTCAAGCTTACGCTTTAAGTGGGAGGGGTTCAGGGGACCCCAGATGAGGATGACTAAGGTCCTGGTCTGTTTGCCTTGCAGCTCCTCGTCCACGTGGTTCTTAGCACCTGCGGCTGCAGACAGAAGTCAGCTCGAGACTGAACCCAGAGGGCTTGGCTCCATCACCAGACAAGTTAACACACACAGTGAGCTGATCTCGTTATCCCGACAGGCTAGTCTACTTCAAGACATTAACACCTGCTTCCTGGGTGCCACGACCTGTCTCAGACACTTCAGAAACTCAAGTCCTTCACTGCTCGTAAGGATCTGATCGGGTCTTCAAGATTGTGGAGACACTGCTGGGGGACTTCCGGTGGTCCAGTGCCTCCAATACAGGGGATGCAGGTTCAATCCCTGGTTGGGGAACTAAGCTCCCATATGTCTTGTGGTGGGACAAAAAAAGAAATAAATAAATAAGGTCACACTGCTGGAAAGTGAGGAGTCCCCAGAGCCTCTATTCCCTAGAAGAGTGTGTATGTTATTGACACTATTTCCTCCTAAAGTATCTGGCACGATTTGACTTGCCTGCATAACTAATCATCCCAACGTTTTCAGTGAAAGATTTTTAAGCTTCTTTAATACTTATAGAACTATTCATATTTTTATAGTTCTTCGAGCACCAATTTTTGATGTTTTACTTTTCTAATAATTTTTCCATTTCACCTACCTTTAGAAATTTATGAATAAACTATTTTCTTTAAAATACATTTATTGTTTGGTTACAGTCTAAAATATATGGAAAAATAAATTCTCCATTTTCGCCACCACTAATTTTTCTTTCTCTCATTTTCTCTAATTAAATTTGCCAGGGATTTACTGACATTCATTTCTTTGCAAAGATTCAAATTTTTAGACTTTTTTTATCTTCTCTTTGTTCATCTCCAAGTTCATTAACTTGTGCTTTTTGTCTTTTCCATCATTCTACTTTCTTTGAGTTTAACTTGCTGTCATCTTCCAACTACTTAAGAGAGGTACTTAGAGATTTTAAGACTTTTTTTTCTCTTAAAATGCATAGAAACCTGTTTATTTTCTCTAAGCGAAGCTTTCACTGAGTCCTAGAGGTGTGAATATTGATATATTGCATTTTTATCATCCAATTAAAAATATTTTCTAATTTTCATCAGGACTTTTCCCTTGACCCATGATTATTTGAAAGTTTATTCCTTAATTTTCAAATGATTGTGTAGGGTTTTTTCTTGGGCTTTGGGTTTAAGTAAATTATGGTCGAAATATATACTCTGTATGATTTCAATTCATTGAAATATGCTGAGACATCCTTGTTTTATAGCCAGAAATAGCTGATTTTTATAAATGCTTTTCATATGTTCGAAAATAATGTGTACTCTGCAGTCATTGGGTGTAGTTTTTATTTTATTTTTTTGGCAGTGCCAGGCAGCATGCAAAATCTCAGTTCCTTGACCAGGGATCAAACCCATGCCCTCTGCAGTGGAAGCACGGAGCCCTAACCACTGGCCCGTCAGGAATTCTCCTGGGTGCAGTTTTTAAAATATATCCCTAAGTCCAATTTGCTAATTGTTGAGATGTTTTAACCTTATCGATCTCAAAACCTACATAAAACATTTTTAATAATTTAATAAGTTGTTTTATCGAATAACGAGGAGAGATATTTTCAAATACCCCACATGGCTGTGATTTTTATATTCTCCACATCACTTTGTCAGTTTATGCTTCCTACAGCAGAGGTTATCTTAGACTTTTTATGTCTTCCAGGTGACTTGAACTCTTTATTGGGGTAACCTGTGTGTCTCTAGTAAAGCGTTTAAATTTGATTTCTACTTTGACATTAATATAAGAACACCACTTTTGTTTTGTTTTGTTTTTTACTTTGTAAGTTCCCAAACTTTCTGTGCTTAAGGCACCCTCAGGATATCAGTGATTGTGTCAAGATGGTCCTAAGACAAAAATAAAACCAAGTTGTTCCATTTATTAAATAGGACCAAACGAACTGACAAGCACCTCTGTCCTCAGAGCTTGGCAGGTGACGGTCCCAGTGTAGCCCCTGGGTGCCTGGAACCAGAAGGACATCACCCCGCGTTGCCAGGACCACAGGGTCTCTGCACAGCACTCGCTCTGTACCTCAGCAACTGCGGAAAGGTCAGCTCCACAAAGATATGACATGGTCATAAATAATGCAGATGTCTGATGTTGGAGCAGGGAATGACTCTGAGTCATTATCTGTGCAGCACCCAGCAGATGTGGCTGTGTTCTCTCCAAAGTGTAAAACACCCCATGTCATCCCTTTGAGCTTGCCCTGGAGCACAGGATGCGTCCTCTCCCATCATCTTACCGATCGACCTTTCTGCCTCCTCACATGCACGTGTCACCTGTTAGAAGTGTACTGCTGGATGTTATTTTATTTTTCAATCCACTCAGATATTTTTGCCTTTTAATTGCGGCTCACAGCAAACTGAACTCCACAAAATTCATACACTGAAATTCTGTTAATGTTATGGTATTTGGATAAAGATTTGGACAGCCCTTAGGCATATCATTCTATTTCTGCTTTATTGGCTACGCCAAAGCCTTTGCCTATTGGATCACAATAAACTGTGGAAAATTCTGAAGGAGATGGGAACACCAGATCACCTGACCTGCCTCTTGAGAAACCTGTATGCAGGTCAGGAAGCAACAGTTAGAACTGGACATGGAACAACAGACTGGTTCCAAATAGGAAAAGGAGTACGTCAAGGCTGTATATTGTCACCCTGCTTATTTAACTTATATGCAGAGTACATCATGAGAAATGCTGGGCTGGAGGAAGCACAAGCTGGAATTAAGATTGCCGGAAGAAATATCAATAACTTCAGATATGCAGATGACACCACCCTTATGGCAGAAAGTGAAGAGGAACTAAAGAACCTCTTGATGAAAGTGAAAGAGGAAAGTGAAAAAGTTGGCTTAAAGCTCAACATTCAGAAAACTAAGATCATGGCATCCGGTCCCATCACTTCATGGGAAATAGATGGGGAAACAGTGGAAACAGTGTCAGACTTTATTTTGGGGGGCTCCAAAATCACTGCAGATGGTGACTACAGCCATGAAATTAAAAGACACTTACTCCTTGGAAGGAAAGTTATGACCAACCTAGATAGCATATTAAAAAGCAGAGACATTACTTTGCCAACAAAGGTCCATCTGGTCAAGGCTATGGTTTTTTCAGTGGTCATGTATGGATGTGAGAGTTGGACTGTGAAGAAAGCTGAGCACTGAAGAATTGATGCTTTTGAACTGTGGTGTTGGAAAAGGCTCCTGAGAGTCCCTTGGATTGCAAGGAGATTCAACCAGTCCATCCTAAAGGAGCTCATTTCCTGGGTGTTTATTGGAAGGACTGATGCCAAAGCTGAAACTCCAATACTTTGGCCACCTGATGCGAAGAGTTGACTCATTGGAAAAGACCCTGATGCTGGGAGGGATTGGGGGCAGGAGGAGAAGGAGACGACAGAGGATGAGATGGCTGGATAGCATCACCGACTCGATGGGCGTGAGTTTGAGTAAACTCTGGGAGTTGGTGATGGACAGGGAGGCCTGGCATGCTGCGATTCATTGGGTCACAAAGAGTCAGGCACAACTGAGTGACTGAACTGAACTGAACTAGGCATATCATTAACATTGATTTTAATAGCAAAAGATCAAAGTCTTCCCCTGTGGTTGGGAACTTTGCCACTTTCATTCAACATGCTTGTTGGATGCTATTTTATTTTCAATCCACTCATATATTTTTGCCTTTTAATTGAAGCTCACAGTGAACTGAACCCCACAAAATTCATAAGCTGAAATTATAACTGTCAATGTCATGGTATTTAGATAAAGATTTGAATAGTTTAGGACTTCCCTGGTAGCCTAGCAGTAAAGAATCCTCCCATGATGCAAGAGCCATAGGAGATCCAGGTTCGATCCCTGGTGGGGAAGATCACCTGCAGAAGGACACAGCCACCCACTCCAGTATCCTTGCCTGGAGAATCCCATGGACAGTGGAACCTGGCGGGCCATAGCCCATGGGGTCACAAAGAGTCAGACACAAGTGAGCAACTTAATGTGCACGCACCAACCATCTTGACCTAACAGTCATAGGAAGACACCCAAGAAGAGCAGAACAACATTCTTCTCAAGTGAACTTGGAATACTTATCAAAGAGACCATGTTCTGGATCATAAAAGAAGCCTCATCAAATTTCATAGGATCGTAATAAAGCATAGCATTTCTTCCGACTACAACAAAATTAAACATAAAAAGTTGATAAATATTTCAGAACATCCTGAAATATTTCAAAATTAGCAACATACTTCTACATAGTATGTGTGTTGAAAAGTATTTACAGGAGGAACTAGAAAAGAATTCAAACTGAATGAAAATTAAAACAGAACATACCAAAACTCTTGTGGGATGAAGTTAGACTACTAATTCAAGGGAAATGTATAGCATTAAATATGCCAATGGTTAACACTAATTTCAACAGTAAAAGATAAAAATCTTCCCCTGTGGTTGGGGACCTTGCCACTTTCATTCAATGTGTTTGCAGAAAGGTTAAACCATGTGGAAAGGAATAGGAAAACTCTTTATTTGACAATGACTTGGTTGTAGAAGATGCAGAACATCTTAAAGAATTTATACCAAAAAAAGGATCTCAGATGAGTGAGTTCAGTAAGTTTTCAGGATGCAAAGATATACTTGCTCACTAGTGAATGACTGAACACTGAAATTTAACACCACTGTAATAACATACAATAGTTAGGGATAAATGTGTGCATGCGTGTGTATGTGTAACATATGGATACTGAGAACGACATAACATATTGCTGAGACAAAGTTTTTTTTAAAAGCCTAAATAAGTAGAGAAATATGCCATGTTTA